TCACCAAAATGTTTTTTGATCTCTTACTATGACAAGAAAACCACAACGCTATCACTGTCAAAAAAACAGCCATTATTTTTTTCATCTCAACCGGCATTTTTGCCTCAGAGCCAATGACATTCCGCGAAATAGATCACGTGTCATTTTTAGTAGAGCATGCGCAGACATTTTTCGCCGGTGAAACGAATGCTGGCTACATGTGTGCCACGCATGCGCAATAACAACTTGGAGATTAGGATTGCGGGCTCCTCTCGTCGCCCGCAAGAATGATGTGAATGCTACGCACGCTGTGATTGGTCGTTTCCCATGATCTATTGGAGTACAGATACATTGATGACGTCACCGGAAACTTGTTTCCTTTGTTTTGTTCATTACGGCGCGCGGTTTTGAAAATGTTTGTGAGATTATTTCGGATTAAAGCAAGTGAGAGCCTCGACAAAAACTTTGCAAGAGCTATTTACAAAGAAGAGAAATGGAGAAAAGGAGAGATAAAGAGCCCTTTACAACTTAGGTCAACTTAATAATGCCTAAACTACAAGAAATCTTCACAACGTGTGTCATCGCTACGAGAGACTCGCTGTTTTGCAAAATGTTTTCGCTATTATTCTGCTTTGCGCAAGAAAACACATCGAAAAACTTTTCGAAGAAACTATATACAAGTAAGATAACGAAAAAAGAAGAAGCAGAGACGAAATATAGCGTTTGGGACTTAAAAAATGCCTAAACTGGCACAAATCTTCGAACAGTCGTGCGGTACGAGGCAGGTATGTGTATCGGTCTTTTTTCTTTTCTGATCATTTTATAAAACAAATAGATTCCATGTTGCCGTGGGTCTGTTCAATAATAGATCACAGAGGAAGTCAAAATGTGGTTAAAACATCAGTGACACACTTGCCTGTGGCTCGTGTGCCACTTCTTTGTTTTTACCACATTTTGACGTCATCTGTGATCTATTACTGAACAGACCCACGGCAACATGGAATCCGCGAGAGAACGCGCAAGCAAGCATCGAGAAGAGCTTGCTCGCAGGCTACTTGCGTCTCAACCTTGTTAACGAAGGTTACCCTGCTTGAAAATGAATATGAGAATGCGAGAATTCCTTGAGGATTGATAAGTTTTGTATCATTTGGTTATAAAATATCGTTTAAAGATACTGAGTATGGCTTACCATGCCCTCAGGAAGTACTGTTGCGACGGCTAATGGTGGGGTTTAAAAGATTTGTTAATATATGTGACTATGTTTCTCGTAAATAGCATCCTTAAACAGAGTGGAATTGTACCATCAGATGATGCAATGCACCAGGTTAGGAGAATGATTTGATCTGCCTTTTTTACGACTTCAAACTCTGTTCTGTTTATATTGGTTAAATGTGTGGCTGTTTTTTTTTTTGGAAAAAATTACCGCCAAATAGAGCTCCTCCGGCCAAAATAAAACCACTAAGACTGCAACCCGGCATTGCTTTTTTTTCTTCTGGTCCTTTCTTTTTCCTCACTCTCAGTTGCCGGCTATTTTTCCTTTCCTTTGTCTTCGTTAGTGTAATTTCGGCCTTATTGGACGCGAAAAAAAATGCCTTTTGGCTTTTTACATTCTGCAAATCTCGGAGGACGTATCTTTGATGTCTTTCCTACTTATTTGAAGCGGACATTTACGACCTTGAGATTTGTGAACAAATGGGACAGCTTTATTTATATATCGTGCTCTTTTGACTTTCTTTTGAGATGAAATGTCGTGGCTCGTATTAAGTGTTGAAGTTTTGCCATTTTTTTACCTTTCTTTTTTCTTTCGCAGGTGAAGGAAATTCAAGGCGCCCTTTTTGACTTCTTTCGAGTTCGTTTGAGAATGACTTGCTATAAAACCGAGATAACTCCCTCATATTGGCACGACTAGCCAGGGTTAGATCACGTCTGTGACACAAGCAATAGAAATCAGGACTGTCCGTAGTGTTTCAAGTTGTTGGGTATATGCCATGAGTAGAAGGAGCTAGAAAGTTTAGCCTGAGAAAACAGTCGACATTTTGGTGACGCTACCACTGGTTTCCCCGCCAAATGACGTCTTAAGAAACGAGCGCAGAAATTCCATGCTGATGACGCGTCACTACCCAGATCTGGGTAGTGCTTCTGATTGGTTGAATCAAATTTCCTTTGCGGCACGACCAATCAGAAGCACTAATGAGATCTGAGTAGTGACGCATCATCAGTATGGAATTTCTGCGCTCGTTTCTCAGACTTCATTTGGCGGGGAAACCAGTGGTAGTGTCGCCAAAGGTCGGCTGTTTTCTCAGGCTATAGAAAGTTCTCTTGGTTTTATTTTGGTTTTGTTTCCTATGAAACTAGCCAGGGGTCATTCCCCAGGGGGATTCTCCAGATTTCAAGTGACAGGGATGATCGAAGGATAGTGGGGGGGGGGGGGGGGGTGGGAGATTTCAGCTTAGGGCGGTTTTGGGGGGGAAATTTTGAGGAGTATTTTTTTTTTGTGGCCGTGATCAAGAAGCTTATTTGTATGGTGTTTGCAAAACATCGAGATATTTTGCTGAG